AACGGAGGCTTCGAAGAAGGCGCCGACCTCGGCCCTGTCATCAGCCCTGAAAGCAAAAAGCGCATCGAGGACCTGATCGCCAGTGCCGAAGAAGAGGGTGCGACCATTCTCCTCGACGGCAGAGGCTACAAGCCAGAGAAGTACCCCAACGGCAACTTTGTAAGCCCCCACCCATCCCCCCTCTAAGTGTGTCTTTCAGTTTCTCTAACCAACACAAACCCCACAGGTCGGCCCCACCATCATCACCAACGTAACCCCCGAAATGAATTGCTACAAGGAAGAAATCTTCGGCCCCGTCCTCGTCTGCCTGTCCGTGCCCACACTAGACGACGCCATCGAGCTCATCAACAAGAACGAGTACGGAAACGGAGCTGCCATCTTTACCCGCTCCGGATCTACTGCCTCCCGCTTCCAGAAGGACATCGAGGCCGGTCAGGTTGGCGTGAATGTGCCCATCCCTGTGCCGTTGCCCATGTTCTCTTTCACCGGTAACAAGAAGAGTATTGCCGGTGGTGGTGCTAATACTTTCTATGGTAAGCCCGGGTTGCAGTTCTATACGCAGCAGAAGACGGTGACTAGTTTGTGGAGGAGCGAGGATGCTGTTAGCACTAAGGCTCATACGGTTATGCCTACTCATTCGTGAGGGGGTTTTGTTTGTCGGTTGGTTGGACGGGAGATTTATGACGTTTAGGTTGCATCGGACATGATCGTTTTCCATTATAAAATACCATTAAGTTCATGATTTCGGGGTTTCTGGCTATATGGCATCGTTTTAGTCAATCGCATACTCCAATTTGTCTCTGCGTTCATCTGCTCATACTATCCTCGTGCGGATGTGGTCGATATTCTGACCAAAACGTGGTGTCTGCATGTGATCTAATATGGTCTTCGCCGCTTTGTGACTACCATGCCTGTTTAAATGCTTTACGAAATATCGGGATATTGAAACCTGTTTTCTAGGGAACATAATGATACTTTATTGTGTGGGGCATTCCTAGTCAGAACTAGTGCGGACCGCATGTCTGCAGTCACAGCTTGCAATGGAGCCCCGCCTCTAGGGGTTTAGTGTTAGGGCAGTCACTACCCTGTCTGCCATGCATTCTATTAATAAGGTAGGACAGCTTCCGAACAAGAGCATCTCACGTAGGATGCCTCTACTCAGTCCGTGGCTTTACGAAGCTGTAGACCAGCCGGGCCAGCTTGTATTTTGTGCCCTTGACGACAGCAACACGACGAGTGTAATAGCGCTTGCCGTCAATGATCTCGAAACCCCAAACCTGTTTATCTTGCATCAGAACATGTCAAAGGACGGAATTCATGAAGAAAAAACGAACCTGTTCGGCAGTCCAGCCGCTTTCCAGGTTCTCCACAAAGCTGAGATACCAGAGCCCCTCTCCCTCACCAAACTCTTCACCGATTTCCTCAACAACAAAGCCCTCGGATGCACTTCCGTCGGCTAGAATCTCCCCTCTAAGGAATTTGTAGACCTGAGGTTCGTCGATCTTGGTCTCGAATTCTGTATAAGGGCGCACCTTTCCGTCCTCGCCCTTAGATCCCCGGAAGAACCGCGACTGACCTTTGAGATGGCCAAAGATGTGGTCGTCGTGCTCTCGTACCTTGTTGTCGCTGATACGTCTCTCAGTTGTACCTTTGATGCCACCAGTGACCGTCTGATCGATATCGATGTGCCATATAGTCGGATCTGCAGCATCGGGATACTCATTGATGGAGAGAGTGACTGTTGCGACACTGAGAGCTTTACGCATGAGCCAGCTCATTCCTTGCTATTCCATCCACGGCAGTATGTAAGCACGAGAGGTATTGCCTTGAGTTGTATACATGATTGACTTGTAGAGCCCACGAGGGTGGGGTGTGAGACTTACCAGCTCGAGAATGGGCTCTGAAGGGTTGGAGAGAGTTTTGTCCTAGGATCAATAAAGTCAGTATATATCTTATGAAATCAAGGAAAGGTATCAGTGTACCATTGTCCACTCTCCATTGAGGGTCTTGAGGTTGCTGTCTGCGGGGGCAGCCATGGTGATGGTAAAATGAGGGGTGATAGTGATAAGATACAGAAATCGAAAGTAGGCGGGTCACAGGTAAGAATGGGTGATGGGGATGATGATCAGGACGACAATTGGTCTGATTGACAGTGGTCGTACGAGAATGAGCTGGGGGAGTAGAAGAGGAACTTTAGTGGACATGGACGGAGCAGTGCTGACAATCCGACTACTTATATGCTGCAGGAGTAACTACTAGATGGGGCTTCATGTGATGGGCTCCTTCCATTTCTATCGCCGGACTGTGACTTCCGCCGAGGCATCTGACACGTGCCACCGCCTATTTCATGTTGATTTGGCGACTGGCATTCTTGAGTAGTACTAGTAGTACTACTAAGAGTAGCAGAAGGTGCGCAATGGTTCCCCGTGACAGTCGTTGCTCCAGTCTGGTCCAGATGGTGTGATGGATCGACCATTCGGTTGCGGACTATTTATTTCCAAGCTGTAAATAATGGCCCGGAGTATTTGCTGACCGACTGGCACATCCCAGTAATTACTACATGTAGTAACCTCCTTCTAGAATAACATCATACTCAGGTTAGCTAGTTGTACCCATAGTATATTACCATCTAAATCGAATCCAGCAACAATGTCTTTGTTCATGACAGGTAAACACACTGAAACACTCATAGTCAGGTACCCGTCTTTTTGAATAGTTTGGTACAACTCCCACTGATTCATGCCTCAGGCCACCAATGATGATGCCCCTTTCACGTGCCCGCCCGCGGAGGAGCCCCAAACCCATTCAGCATCACTTGGAAGTTCCACTTGCTGTGCTTCTGTAAATATACCCTGCCTGTCCTTGTCTCTAGTCGGCCATTATCTTGCCATCAGAAAAGCAATTGGCCATGTCCTTCAATAGGAAGTATGCTGGTCTTCCCGACCTGGTACGTTACGCCCATCATTCATCCCTCCTACCCCATCTCTATTAACCCGTCTACTAACATCGTTTGTTTGGGCCAGGATCTCGCTCCCGATATCTACGAGACCCCCGATCTGACCGACGAAGCATCCACCGTTCCGGTTAGCTACCCCGCCTGACGCCTGAGCTGGCCTTTATCAATGTATCCAACTACTCATCCTTCCATTCTACATTCCATAGACTACAACTATCCGCACCGCATCCAACGCAGACGACGATGCCGGCTCCAACTCCGACATCGACCGCCAGGGAATCAACGCAGATGAAGCACGCGCCCACTTCCTAGGAGCCACAGTCGACGCGCGCGATGTCAACTTCTCCGACAGTATCGCGATGAAGCGAAAGGCGTACAAGAACAAGAACCGTCGCCGGCGCAGAAACGAGAACGGTCTAGATGAGCCCGAAGACATCAGCGACAGCGAAGATGAAAGCCTCGAGAGGAAGCTCGCCCGCCTCCGCAGGGAAGTAGAAGAACTGAAAGACGAGATGGCCGCCCGACAGACCGAAACCGAACCAGAAGCCGCAGAAGGAAAGGAGCCCACGGACGACGGAGTGCTCGAACTAAGCCGCGCCCTGGACAACCTCTATACCTCCCGAACCGACAACACAGGATCACACTCCGCAGCTACACTTCTAGCACAAAAGATCGCAACCAAATCCACATCCCAAACCGCTGCACCCAGCACTCAGAACGCAGACGCCACACAACACCCGGAACCAACGGCCCCCGCATCCTCCGGCGTCCTCGCCCACGCCGCCGCATTCGACGGCCGTCTCGCCCTCATCGAAGCCGCCATGGGCATCTCCAGCTCCTCCAACCCCTTCGTCAGCGACGGAATCTCCGAACCCGCGCTCCAGCCCGTCCTCCCCGCCGTCGACCACCTCACATCCCGCCTCACCACCCTCATGAACATCCTCGTCGGCCCGAACCCCGTCTCCGCCGTACCAACCATGGGCTCCGCACCTCCCTCCACAACAGTCACCACCCCGCATCTCGAGACCCTCTCCACCCGAGTCCGCAAACTCACCGCAGACACAGAAGCCCTTGCCTCCGCGCGCAAACGCGCCGTGGACGCCGCCAAGGCAGCTCAGAACGCGCGCATCGCATCCGCCGCCATTGAGCCCTCAGACATGTCCGTCTCCTCGTCCTCCGCTATGGAGGTCGACCCGGCTGCTACCCAGCGCGATGAACAAGCCACTAAGATCCAGGCCCTCTACGCTACTCTCCCCACGATCCAATCCCTCCATCCCATCCTCCCCAGCGTGCTAGAGCGTCTCCGCTCCCTGCGCGCTATCCACGCTGGTGCAGCGCAGGCCTCCGAGTCACTCGATACCCTGGAGAAGCGACAGGCAGACATGGCAAGAGAGATCGAGCAGTGGCGCGAGGGTCTGCAGGTCGTCGAGGAGAAGATGGGACAGGGCGAAGCAGCGATGAAGAGCAATATCGAGCTTGTGGAACCTTGGGTCCGGGATCTGGAGGCTAGATTGGATCGTTTGGAGGGGCAAGGCGCATGATTGGGGACGTTTTGTGAAATAGTATGAACATATAACCACTAAATTTCTTGTAACTGTAGCTGGTCGATAGTAGTACTGGGAACTCATATACCATCTTTTTTCCAGCGGACTACAATTACCATTACCGAACATTGACACGCTATAGTGTATATTAGAAAGGGAACCCTACAAAGACACACTGGCACGGGTAGTAAGTCTCTACTAAGCCCACGACGAATGATATGTTTTATCACAATGATATATGTATGGTATTATAAATTAGTACTAAGTTAGTAACAGCAGTTCATACTCTGATAGAGGGTTTGGAAAGTACATGAAATCTGCTTCACCCATTGGTAATTGCTAGATACACGCGATGGGGATGCTTGATAGTTGTAACTATAAGCAAAGCGAGATCTCGACGAAGTACGACTCCATGACACTATGAGAGTAATCTAGTTCCTAGCGCTTACGTATACTCGTTATATAACTGTACCCAGGTCGCGCTTTTTTGGGGGTAGTATAACAAAGTCACTGTTTTCATATTAGTACCTATAGAAAATGGGAATTTACCCGGTAGTAAAATACTATATGGAAGCAAATATCAAACTATACTAGGATATAATCACATTACCGGAATTCCCATTCCCCCTGGGGATCCCATTTCGCTTTCAAGCAATTCAACCACTCCACAACCGGGACTTCTCGGCCCCCGACCAGAGACCCATCATCTGCAACAGTAGCATCCATAAGGACTCTGCGCCGAAATGCGCGAACATGGGCCTTCGCATCCCAGGATGAAATTCGCATCCAATCATGCTCGATGCGGCAGAGAGGCGTTTTGAGCTCACCGCGTTGGAGACGCTGGTGACACGACTCACATAGTCCGATATTGAAACAGTATTTGCATGCATACATGCTTGTGCTCATGTCTAGCGGGCAGTCACACTCATCACATACATAATTATCGCTAGCTTCATCGAGTGCCTTCTCATATCGTTCCATGGATTCGAACAGTGCCTCATAAGACTTCCATTTGGCTGCGTGATCATCACTCAAGGGGAAGTCGATATCGGTCTCGCTTAACAACCTGCGTTGGCTTCGCAGCGAAAAATATTTGGTTTCAGAAACCTTGGACCAAACGCTGATGGGCTTCTCGCAGTTATTCTGGAAGTACTCCCTGAGCTCGGTGGCTTCTGGTGTCGTAGTTTCCTCGTCAGACCGTAGCCATTCTTCCAGAATCTTAGCATCCAGGACACGAGGAGCTAGGAGCGAAAAGGCAGTAAGGGCATTGACTCGGTCACCGGTGTGAAGGAAGATCAGAAAAAGACGGATAAATCCGCCCATATCATTACCAGTCGTGTCATCAGATAGCAAGACAAATGCCTCTTTGATATTTTCCTGGAAGAGCGCTTCAGCATCCGTTTGTTTACCACGCCGGATGAAGTCTGCCGCCAGGTATGTCTTCGCAGCAGACATGCCATGAACAATACCCTTTTGATTCTGATATACCTCCTCCAAATCTGCAGAATACCTTTCGGCCCTATCGGGGTTTTTCAATGTCTGTGTGAAGTAATGACAGCCCAGCTGCCGCCCCACTTTGTCCAGTAAGATTGCACCAGCAGACTGGTACTTGAGTTTTCTCAAAATGATTTCAGCGCAGTCTGTCCACGCTTTGGCAGCCTGATCAGCATGGGAGGAGGTTTCTGAATAGCATGCAAGTGCGATCCCTTTATGTAAAAGTAACATGGCCCACGTTCTGGCCTGGTTCTGTGCCTTTGCATTCTCGATTGCTGTCTGCATGTTTTCCAGTAAGGAAGCGAAGTTATCGGCAGAGGAGGAGCATATGGAGATGATGGTGCACAGCAGGCTCATCGTCTGAGTGGTGTCGTAGTAATAATCTTCGATGGCCATTTTAATCACTTGACCCAAATGTTCCATGGGTCCTGAAGTCGTCTTGAGCTTCAGTGCACCTATAATCCATTTTCCGAGCTCCTCTTTGCGGTTACGAGACCACAAAGTCTTGATTAGCGCATATCTGGCGTTGATATTGCTGTCGCTCAGTTTCAGGGCTTCCTCGAGATATTGCAAAGCTTGGTCCTTGTCTCTGTCCAGTGACGCGAGACGAACCAACACTTCCCCATGTCGTTCCTTGTCGATGTCTCCCATCTGCTTCAGTAGCTCACTGGTCTTCGATTTGGATAAGTGGCAAACCAATGTTAGCTGCTTTGCAAAGAGGGAAGCGAGGACACCTTTGGAAGAACTTACCTTCTGATAATTCTTGAAAGCTTTCTTGTAACTATTAGCATACTCATATGTTTCGGCTAGCCGTTGTACCCAAACATCTTGTTCGCGCATGCGGCTTGGTCCCAGTACCCTCTCGCACCATTTCTCAGCCTTTTTAACGTCATAATCTTCGATACCGTCATCAGATCCGAGGCTATGATCATCATCTTCGGGGCTAGAATCCGAAACTTGGTTGGCATGATCAACTTCTGCATTCTACTACAAGTCAGCTCCAGGCTGAGATAATCTCGAAAGAGGGAGGTCATAACCCACCATATTGAGAAAAGCCCTGAGCCACTCAAAAGAGGCTGTGGTGGAACTGGGCGATCGGTCCTGAAGCCATTTGTGATTAGCCAACCTCGCTAGTGGCTCAAAGAGCTTCTGGTTTTGTTTCTGACCCTTCTGCACCTCTCTGATCTTGTCTCGGATAAGCGGATGTTTGATGGCAGCATCGTCCGACAGCCATTTGCAGAATGAAGCTATAGCATCTGAGGAAGTGTGCCATCTCGTTTGTTGCAGAACATCCCAATGTCTTTCAAGGCTCATTGGGCTTAGAAATAGCTCTTGGACATTTTCACCTATGGTTCGTCGATCGATATCCTTGAGGTCATCAAGTGGAGAGGGCTCCTGCAGGATTGCTAAATGAGCCGGAAGATCTCTTAGTAAAATTCCTCCAATTGGCCGTGATAGAGGATCAGGTGCTTTTCTGAGAAACTCGAAGGTCCGTTTCACGATTACCAAATGCGCATTCAGCTTCGTGACTCGGATGCGGTGAGTTGAGGGCTTCGCCATGTCCATCTGATTTGCATCAAAATTGAACCGATTCATCACCGAATGATTGGCCAGATCCCAGAAGAACCGCTGGGCTACTTCGATACTTGTGTTTTGGACGGATATAGTAGCCGAAATAGCTGATTGCTGGTCCTTGTTTTGATCCAGGATTATCAAATGCTTCATCTCTTTGCGAAGTCGAACTCCATCATCTCTCTCCTCCAAGATCAAGGAAAACCTATCCCGTATTTTCTTTCGCAGAGAGCTTAACGGCGGTGAATTCGAGCGGATGAACTTTTGCTCCCACTAACGATCAGCCAACCTCCAATTTCCTCAGGCAACAACATCTTTCTAGATTGGCATTACGTTGGTTCAGAAAATCTCGGAGGAAAATACGTACCAAAAAGGCTTCAAGCTGCTCAATATCGAGGATGACATCCTTGGACATGTTGAATTCGCTCCAAATAATCAGCTCATTTAGTTCTGCGATCTCCTTCCAGTCGAGTGTTCTTTCAAGATCTTGTAGCTCAGATTTGGCCAGATCTGAACCTCCCCGGCTCAGCGCACTGAGAAAGCGAATGAGTTCATCTCTGCTATCTGATTGAACCAGATTCTCAATCCTGTCAAGCCATTTCTGCACTTTGTGGAAGCTACCACGGGCGTTCTTCGTTACTGCCTCGCATATCGACTTTCTAAGGTCAGCAAAGTCCAGAAAGTCTTCCTGCAACAAGTCTTTCTTTTCCAAGAACTTTGCAGTGTAATCAGCGATTACCCTTTGATTGTAGCATTCCATCTCCTCAGATTGCAGACAATCTTTCTGCTTTGAGTACGCGCGCAATAGTTTCCTTGACCCTGTGACACAGATGCGCAAGGAGTTCCTTTTAGACGGAATTTGGTTGGTGATGAGATGATTCATGAAATCCTTACACTCCTGCTCTGCCAGGTTATCGAGGCCATCCAGAATAAGATAACAAATCATCTTATCTGGAGCCTGCCAAACATTCAGAGCGTCCAGGAGGCCCTTATAACCCGTCCCCTGGGCCCTTCCATCCTCAGTTTTCAGAAAGTGCAACAAGCGTCGCCGGTAGTCTAGATTTTGCTCTGCCAGTTGTAGTCCCGTGGCTCTGACACAGTCTTCCAGCGGTTGCTGGTGGTCTTTAGGACTTTTTGGCATCGGAGGAAAGGAATAATAGGCGGCGAACGGTTCCTTCTTCTTGATGTTCAAAAACATTGATGCTGCACAGACGCTCTTTCCTGTTCCTGGTTTTCCAAAGATCAAAAGTAATGGTGGTACACCTTCATCCTTCTTGAGCGCCCAGGTCTTGTAAGACTCCGACTCGAGGAACGGGCACTTTTGGTCTTTCGCCATGCGAACGGTTTCCGTATAGACACGAGGACCCAACATTACTCCATCCTCCGAAGTTACACGCAGATATTTTTGGATTTTGCTCAGCTCATCCTGGCGGGTGATTTCGTCGGAGCGCTTGCTGACGTACTCGGAAATTCCATCGACTTTACCATCCATAATATCGATCTTGTCGCTCGAATGTAGAATTTCCTTCAGCATGATCATCTGCTGAACATATTCTTTCTGCTCGGAAAGGGCTTTCAGCTTATCAAGACCTTCTCTGATGGGATTTTGGTTTGACAAAATCCATTTTCCTTCTTTGAAGTATTGGTAAGCCTTGCCCTTCTCGAGAAGCTTCACACACTGAGCACAGAGCGTTATAAAGGCCATCATGACATTGCAAACCGAGATCATCAGGACCCGGTTAACGGCTGTACCCATATCATCATATTCCTTGAATTCCGTGAAGCGTGGCTCAACTTCATCAATCACAGCCCGGATGGACTCATGAATGCCATGCACCTTTGATGGGATTTCCAGGATATACGACAAAGCACTAACACAAGCGCTTGCAGGTGAGAATGCCTAAAAAGTTGATCTTAGCTTCATGGCCGCGCAGATATAAACCGCTCTTCCCGAGCGGATATCTTGATGCTTTTTGGTTTCTTTTCTTCTTTGTCTTACTAACGAGATACTTACTGCATCGGTAGCAGTTTTTATGGGTCCTGTCCAGGTCTGAGCAACAGACACGATCGTAAGGAACCTTTGCCTCGTTGCTCTGGACGCATCGTCCTCTCCATTCCCGCCCGATGAGATTCTCGCCTTGAGTTCTTCAAAGCTTCGAGGGTCTTCGAATCTTCTGGGCTCAAGCCTTCTCTTGGTGATCTTCTCAAATTGAGCACAGGCCTCGTTCAATAGTCGGCGAATTGATTTAAGTCTCTCTTGGGGGTCTTGCACTGACGGAGTTTCCATCTTGGCGGCAGTACTTTGGAGCTTCCTCTTTTTCTTCCTAATTCTCTTTTTTTGATGTTCCAAGTTTTATGTTCCGATGGTTTTGGTACGAAGAATTGGAACAAAATGTGATCGAAATGTTGAGTATGACTTTGGTTTGACCTACTGGACTCGGGGATGTATGGATAGTTTTCTTATCACTCACTTATGTTTGCTTTTGCTCACAGCCCTCCAACCCCCTCCCAAGGCTGCAGGCGGGGTTCATGTGAAGCTGAGGCTATAGGAATCTTTATTTCCAATGTCCCTCTTGCTTCACAGACTACTCAAGCACACGAAAGTGTCCCAGTTCATGGCACATCTGGTGACGATTCATTGTGCAGCACTACATACTAGACATACTTGCGGGGATCCCAGATAGAGGACTGCTTTGCTGTTCTCAGTTCGATATGAAAACGATGCACCTCTCTATTGATTGACCGGCTTTGGGCTGAAATGAGGGGAAAATAGATAGATAGGGCATCAATCACATTCCTACCCCAAGCGAAGGAGAGCTGAGGGGAGTGGACCTGACAGATGCAGACGACTTTCAGCTGGCACTGTAGACATTGCTAGTGTCCTGCTGGAGTTATCTGGTGGCGCTAGGCCATTCCCTATTATGTCTGAGACAAGCTAGCCTTGCTGCAAGCTCCATTCTCCAGGAGAAGCAGCGCACACACGCCAATCCTTCTTGGTTGACAACGTACAACAATCCAACAAGGGTATCTCTGTATATTCTTACAAAACGTGAATATTCTATCAACTCATACGTCCACCCCTCTCCTCAAAATCGTAATCTTCGGCTCCATCCTCACCTCAACCCACCACCCCTTCGTTATTACATCCCTCACAAATGCTCTCCCCTTCTGGAACAACCTCACTCCCTCATCCCCAAGTACATATGCAACCACCTTCTCCTCCACAGCTCCAACAGCATCATCACCCGGCCGAACGATCCTTAGTCCTGCGAACCCATCAACTGTGTCGACGACTTCCCAGGACCCTAGGATCTTCTCCGACTCCTCGCTTGGCTCGACGAGGACGTAGTCAAACTGTGACCAGAAGGTCGGGGATAATTTGGTGGTTTCGTCCTCGGTCTTGTCGTAGTGCCAAGTAGGTGTGGTTGACTCTGAAGGAGAGGAGGGGTGTTGAAGGAAGCGAGTGACGCCTGTTTGGCAGGCGAGGTTGCCTAGGTAGACGGAAATGGAGTCGGGGGATGAGTTGGTATTCTCGGCGTAGGCGTGGAGGGTATTCAGGGCGTGAGCACCGGGGTAGTTTGCTGACGAGGCGGGGAGGAGAACAAAAGTAGAGAGGAGGAAGGAGGCGAAGGTGGATGCGAGCATAACTAGGGAGAGGAGACGGTAGAGGAGGGATTTAGTTCGATGTGTCCAGATGTACGATGCGCCGAGGGAGGCGGCGGCGGTGAGTGCGGGGATGGTGTAGATGATGAAGCGCCATTCTTTGTGGGGTTGGGCGCTGTAAATGGCGAGGAAGAACAGGGAAGGAATGAGAGTGTTGGCTGCGAGGCCGCGGGTGGAGGGCTGATAGAGGGCGAAGGGGATGCCCACGACGTAGGTGAGAGGGTTGAGGAGGAGACGCGGAACGGCGTTGGTGAAGTAGAAGTGCCAGGGGTGGGTGCCCCAGGCGGAGGCTTGACCGGAGATGACGTTGAATTTGAAGGCTGCGAGTTCAGGCCAGAGGGGGAATTGTTGCCAGAAGAAAGAGTCCACGAGGACGGTGGAGGTGAGGCCGACGAGCAGGCCGAGGATGCCGGCGGGGATGATCTCGCGCTGGATGGTGATGCGACGGGTCGCGAAGAGAAAGAGGGTGTTGGTTGCGAGGAAGATGGCCAGTTCGGAGCGGAAGATGATGCCGGCGACGGTCATAAGGTAGAGAGAGAGGCGGGCCCGCTTCTTGTATACTGTCGGACTCACGGGCTCTGGGAGGATATATCGCAGGGCCAGGGTGGTGAGGCCAAAGGCGAAGATGTTCGATAGGGTCCGCGATGCGTAGTAGAAGATGTGGAACTGGCTGGCTTGGAAGAGTAGATACCAGATTGCGGTGGTCTTGCCCGCAGTGCGGCGCAAACCAGAAGCAAATGCCAGTAATGAGGCAGCATTGAAGAGACCCAGAATGGCGCGTGCTAGAAATAGATCACCATTATTAGCGCTATTGCTCGAACCATTTAGAAAGAAGCACATACCGAGGAATTGTCTGTCAATGTTGGCCTTCAACCAGGTAAATGGTTGCGACAGGCCGGACAGCATCACGGCGCCAACGAACGTCCTAGGGACGGCGCCAGGGAAGGCAAAGTGATCATATTCAGCGCGCAGAGTCTCGGAGACATTGCGAGTCGGGATTCCCGAGGACAGTATATCATGAATAGCCTGGATGTGGAACGACTCTTCTACCTTAGTGTAGGGAGCTGCGGCGAGATGGAGGAGAACAAGGGCCGGGATTGCGGCGAGGAGCAGCAGGAAGACTAGAGAATAGATCAGTATACTGTGCAATGTTGAGAACTATAAATGACAGCCTACCGACGTCTCTCCCCATGATGACACCATATATACTTTCTCAGTATGTCTAGAATACTCCTAACAAGAAGACAAGAAAGAGGAGTATATCCAAAAGGACAACAACATCCAAGCGGGTAAAATTACGTATGCCGCGATACTGCCGCCGCGGCTTCTCCGCCTCTCCTCCGCCATCTCCATCCAGTATCTCCGTTTCACCACCATCACTCGAGAACCACATCAATCTAGACGTCCTTTTCCCTCCCCCCACCGCCCAAGATGTTCTTCTTCGGTCTTGGGAAGCTCGTTTACGGTGCGCACATTCTATTCCACCCCCTACCACCCCGAATTTATCCCACAGGAGGCAACAAAACAAGTAACTAACCCAATCGCATAATCACAGTCATCATCCTCCTCATCAACTCCCTCGCTGTCCTCTCCGAAGACCGCTTCCTAGCCAGAAGTACGCCATCCCCCACTCACCTGCCACAAAATTGAATGAATGAATGAGTAACTCACGGAATGAAAAACAGTCGGATGGGGCCGCACACAAAACGACCCAGCTTTCGGCGCAACCTACGATACCACCAGCGTCAAAGCGAAGACCATTAATCTGATTGCGAGTGTGAGGACTGTTATGCGAAGTATGTCAACGAATCCCCATATTTCGCTATTGCATACCTACTAGTTATGCGATGTGGTGGGAAACAATGGAAAGAAGAGAGACACAATGCTAACGAGCTGTGGGGAAATGTTTTAGTACCGCTTATTGTGATCAATACGATAATTATCGTGTACGAGCTTATTCTGGGTTAGAGTTGGGATTGAAAGCTGAACTGGGGATAATATGGTTGAGTAATGGGGAGTTGTGATATAAATGCATACATATATGATTACTACTGCTGCTGCTGGGATTCTTGCTCTGGTCTTGGGGGGTTTAAAGAGATGTGTCTGTATTCCAACCCTTGCCTTCTTTCTCTTCTTTCTTATTGTTGTGTTTATTGTATGATTGAAAATGGATTGAATGGATTGAACAGAACAGGGATGAGTGCTGTCCTACTGTAATCATATGGAGATGTGCAAATGCTGGGATCCTAATGCTTAGGGTGAGAGGCACGTATGTCTACTCTGTGCTCGAGTCTGAGGTGGGTACTAGCTGGCATGATAATGAACACCCCTGTTTCAATGTCGATAGTTTCGTTACTATCTAATGCGTGTACTCGCATCGGTCTATATACCACGCAATGTTGATACATATGGTCTATCCCACGAGCCCGAAGGATGAAATGCTCACCATGACCAGACAAGATGTGACAAGTCCAGATCTCTCGACTTCACTCTTCCTACAAAGAATCGCGCTCCCTCTTTCGCTCCTGGCATCGACAAAAGATGCCCTTCGCATTCCTGAATCCCATTGCGAACCCCATTTCTCCATAACCCATTTTTGAATGGTAGTAAAATCGACAACGTGTGATAACTTGTAACATCCAAAACCCGAAAAACATCATTCGCCGAACGCCTCACTTGCCCAGCTGTGTGACCCAGGCACGGGTATCACATGATCAAATAGCAGTCAAAGAAGATATATAGCAATAACAAGTGAAGCAATGGTTGGCTAAAACAACATGCAGAAGCAAAGTTCGAAGACATCACAATGCAGGCAAGAGCCCAATAGTGAGTAAAAAAGTAAGACAGGGACCGGACCCATTTCAAACCTTGCATCCACTGGCAACATGCTCGCACCCTGAGCAATATCGCCATATGAAGGAGCCGGTAGTGAAGAGAAGTGTGATGATACATCAAGAAAGTATGTACGAAAAGTCCACGTATGTTATGTGCAAAAGACGAACAAAGTTGCATGCTTGGTGCAATCGGCGAAATGCGGGCCTTATGAAAGGATGCTGAACGACTTCTTCCGGATGCTGAAACTCCGCCATTTCCCATGCCCTGCCCGGTCGCCCTTGGGGCTCTTGAGAGCGTCTGGCTCGTCATCTCGGCCCAAGGGCTTATGAACGATGTGCGACTCCTTCGGTGGGGAGGTCGTCCGCGGTGAGAGCGGCTGGACGGGCTCCAATGGCGGCTGGCGTGGTGTTAGAGGCTCGGCACTAGGAACTGACGGCAGGCCAGACGACGACGAAGCACGGCTTTCTTTGTCTTTGCCCAAGCGCTGACTGAAACTCTTGCTGCCCCGTTTCAACCGGCTAAGACCGTTGCTGGTTTTCTTCGGATCGCCATCCTTCCCGTTCTCCGTAGGATTGCGTCGATCCTCATCTGCTTTCGATGCTTTGCTGGCCTCCAGGGCAGCCTTTAGTTCAGCTTCCTCGCGTCGCTGATTTTCCTTAACCCTCGCTTCTTGTTCTTTCCGGCGCTGCTTTTCCAACTCCTTTTCAGCTGCTTTGCGCTCCTTTTCTTCTTTAGCTCGCTCCTTCTTGGATTGGATGTCACTCTTCTTAGGGCTCAAAGGCCGGTTGACAGTTTCAGGTATTGGCGGAACCGGAGGTGGAGTTGCTACCGCGGGACTTGACGGCTCAATGTCTGGACCAGTATATTCTGTATGTGTGGGTAGCTGAGGTGCGGTGGGGGCTCGTCGGAGGCCCGTGTGTCGTTGGGGCTCGTCTGGCACAGGGATCTGCGAGGCACTATGAACATGTGCCAATCCCGAGGGGTGGGGGAAGCCGTTCGGTTTCACAGCAGCTTCATTCGCATCAGCCGCACTGGCATTCATGTTCTCCATCTCTTGCTCCTTCAAAACAGCCTCCAATGTAGTCTCCTGGTAGAATAGGACGTAGGCACATGCCAAGCCAGGCTTATCACCAAAGAAGTTGCGCACGTAGTTCTTGTCAACAGGCTCTACCATTTCGTCATCAAAGAGCAGCCATCCGCGATCCTGCGTCTTGATGATAGACACATAATGCCCGTGGTAAGGACCGCCCCCAATGTGGACCACCACGGCGTATAACTCGTATAGGCGATCGGGATCCTCCGCATCGTCTGTTGTGTTAAAAAGACGAAGATGGTAAGGGTACACGACCCGATGAAAGAGCTTCTGCAGTCGTTGGAGATCCTCGGTATATTTGAATCGCTTGAGATGCAGGGCCAGAATTCGCGGGAGGCGCTTGATTTTCATCCTTTTCTCGGCCTCCTGGAGCCCACCGCAGTTATCGCAGTGAAACTTGTTTCGCTCGCAGAGCATCTCTTCTGCTGAGAATTTCCTCAGACATGAAGTGACCGACGAGTGCTGCTCCAGATCTACCGACAAATCTAGGAAAATCTCATCGCGCTGGGAAACATTCTCGCACGTCAAGCACTGTGTCTCTGATGTCAAGGTTCCCTCGAACAGCTCGTGCACCCATCGCGTTGTGTTGGGAGTTTTAGAGCCCGAACTGATCGACTGCCGGGAGGAGTCGGTGGTGTCAGCTGGCGGTAAGCTCGGTATAGGTTGCTTCATGGCTTCTGCTTCTACATTGGCGACTACTTCGTTCAGCACAAGGTTCAGGAATTCGTGAGCATCTTGATGCATCGCCGACCGAAACATTTCGTTCTCACGGCGAAGAACGTCAAGGAAATGCTGTGGTCGTACGATGCCTATCCTGGACTGGCTCGCAACGACCGATTCGAATATATCTTTGAGTGATGTGAAGAGCGATTCTGACATTCCATAGCTGCCTGCATTGTTTTTCGTTTCTAACAGCGGCAGTGACTGCAGGGCGATTTTCTTTTTGTACTCAGAAGAGTCTTTATCTTCGGGTTTCGGTGGCTGAGCAGGAGGTGCGCCGGGTCGCTGAGCGTTGGCGAGTCTTTGTTTCTCCGCTTGTGCCTCAGCTTCCTGGTTTGCGGCGAAGTTTTGATAGCGAAGGTTTTTCGCCAACGCAGCCTCTAGGGTTTCTATCGGCGTTCGTGTCGGATAGTTGAGCACGGCTTCGCGAAAGGGTACTGAATAATAGAGACACTGCAAGATTGAGTTACAGTAACTGCGCAAACGGGGGATTAGTGACATGACTCTAGGACGGTGTTCCTCCCCTCTACTGAATGGTTGAGACCGATTGGCCACTCACCAAGTATTTCCGTACTGTATAACACAAGCCACTGTTAGAAACTCTGCCAAACCGGTGTATAGGGTGCAAGAATGGCCAACTCACGTTCTCCATGCCGAAAAACTTGTCGCTACCGTCTTGTCGAACAGAATCCGAACCCATTTCCTGCAGCATCTTCTCCAGCGGGGTCATCGGAAGCGCCAGGGGTTCTTTCTTCGCGGGAGTCGCCCCGACCGAAGGAGTGGAAGATCCCTGAAAACGATGCAGTCAGCATTGTGGTAGTTGTGGCGAACGGTAATGGAGACGCGACAGGTTGGCTCTTCAGCAATCTGATGGGCGTGCTGCATGTCCTTTCACGGTTTTCCCAAGGATTGCCAACATGACCAGGCATTTGATATGCCCCAAAGATGTAGGAGGCCAGAGCATGTTCAGAGACAAAAGAAGCGCGACCAAGCCAGCAAACCGGGGGCACTTACCACATCTCTCCGGAAACTCCTCAGAAAAGACCCCATGTTTATCGCAAAGTCTTGAAGACCTTAGTATTCAACTTCATCTGGTAGCTTTCGCGGGACACAGTAGCCGACACCGGAACCGAAGGAGAGTGAATGTGAAGCGTTATATCGGCGCGCAGGCGAGCCAGCCGGTATGCGACGGCAGGAACCAGTAAGCGAAGTCGAGTAGAGATAGGAGGGTTTGTGAGAGCAACGGTCGGCGATATGATGGGGTTTTTGACACAACGGAGTGACAGCGACAAAGAATTAAAAGAAGAGAGTCTAGATGCTCGGCATAGGGTTTCCTAAATCCGCGGATCCGACGAGCGTTTGAGGAAGGGCTTGAGGGGGGGAAGAGATGTGGATGAGTGAACCAGGAATGGGGCGGAACGTGAACGGGCGGCGGAAATCGAAGGTGGAGAACGCTGCGGTCGGAGGGAGAAAGGCACAGGCGAATTGAAAGCAACGGTGGTCGAAGGGATGTGTAAGAAGACGAGCAGGCAGAATGCAAGGTCAGACAAGGAGAGGAAGAAGGTGAACAAGAGAAGAAAGAGATAGAATAAGTGAGAGACAGAGGCAGAGGGAGAGAGAGAGAGAGAGGAGAGGCGGGAGTAGGGGAACGACGTTGTTGGTAGCCGGATTATTCCCCAAGTCAGGAACCTCGAGCCATACACAGTACACTGTTTGATACACCAGATACTTTGCAGTGGATATTAAATACAGCCTTTCACATCTGCCTGGGTAATATTACATGGGGGTTCTCCCGTAATGACGGGCGGGTGCGCGGGCCCGAGCGGTTGGGGGGGCAAACCCGATTTGACTTTTGGAGATGAACGTTTCGAAGGAGGGGAAAGCTGGCTTTGACGGGTGCTACTGTCACAGATTGGGTAGAGGGAGAGACTTTGAACCATCGTTTGGACGGGAGCATATTCCCATAGTCATCCGAGTCTAGATGTTGGGCTTTCTCCTCCCCCGCAAATTGTGTGGTGACTGCAAGAAGAAACACCCGGCCGTCTTCTCGATCTCACACCAACTCCGGTAAACCTCAGTCATACTAGGTTTCTTTACCCAAAAAAACACTCTTCAGTATTTTACAGCGGTTTTCAAAGATTTGACTCCTCCCACGCATCTTCCCAAGAAAGACATCCGATGAACCAGCCCCATTCTGTGTTTCCCCCTCACTATGACTAGAATCTTTACCACTTTCTCTCATCTTGATCCTAGCGAGTTCAAGTGGCCCCCCTATAG